CTCTGGTCTGGATGGCTGGGGCTGGGTGTTCAGCAGTCCTGGGTTCCTTCTCCCTGTCTGCTGACTTCTCTCCACCCGACGAGAGCTGGAGGGAGGGGCACTCGGGTCCCGCCTGGCGGGGGCTTGTATCTTACCCCCTTCGCGAGGCACTGGGTTCTCACAGGTGTGGATGTGGTCTGGATGTTGTCCATTGTCCTCTGGTCTCTATTTTAGGAAGAGTTGTCTTTGTTATATTTTCATAGATAAATGTGGTTTTGGGAGGAGATTTCTGCTGCTCTACTCATGCCGCCATCTTGGTTCTGCCCTTCTAACTCAGTATATTTTTACATGTTAACTCGAATGAGGCAGTGTAAGTGAAAACAGTCAATACCAGAAACTAGAAAAGTAGTTGGAAACCTCTTAGGGTTTTTAGTTTTTAAAGGAGGATAATGACATGATACTCTGTTTTAGTTAGGTTTAAATGATGTTGGATCTGACTTGTGGCAGTAGGGGTGGGGTGAAAAAGGGAGAAAAGGAGTAGAAGGGGAAATGATCATAGAGGTTGAGGCATTGAGAATAGAGATGAAAATATAACCTGTCATTTTGGAGGGACAAATCAATGTTTCATGGTGATTGATAAGAAAAAGGAGAAGAACCTCTTGGCTCCCAGATGAATTCCCAATGAATACTTGACTGCTTATTTTTTCCACGGTCTGGGCTAGGCATTTGCTGTGGGCAACAGACCTGTAAGGACCACTAGGAATTGCTGATTTTTGGGGTCTGGGTAGGGTGTTGCCTGCATTCATGAATGTGGAGAATTTGGGGCCAAGTGCCAGTTTGGGTATTAAAGTTAACCTATTCACCTGTAAGCAAGTTGAGTTCTATGCCACAGATATGGGTACAGAACACTGTCATATAATTTTTGTGTGGTCCTCATGAAATTTGTTTATTTAGGATCATAGGCATTTGATTGTGAGGTTCCATTGATGTTTTAAAAAGTGATAATTGTAGACATTTGGAAAGGTTATATTTTTCCTCCCAATAGTGCTAAGTATGATACTATGTAGGATTTTAAAAAAACTATAATGGAACTTTCGACTTCCAGATAACTTACAGTCTTACATGTTGGTGTTTCTGTGGAAAAAAATATTTCTGAATCTTATGTAGTTATATTTGAGTATTCATTATAGGCTTATCATTTCTAGTTATTGTTGGTCTTAAAACAACAGAATTTAAGTAAAATTTAGCTATGAGCTAAGATGATGGATTCTTTTATTTTATAGCAGTGGTTCTCAAACTTTAGGTTGCATCAGAATCATCTGGAGGGCTTGTTAAGTTTCTGATTCAGTAGGGTGGGGGTTGGGGGCTGAAAATACTGCATTTTCAACAAGGTGATGATTGTGTTAACTAATGTAATATAATAAGGAATTAAGATTATCCTAGGAAACCACAATTTAGCTTCTAAAAAATACTTTAAAGAATACATAATACCTAAGAAATAAACTTCATTTTCATAAACATACAGCTCAAGTCCAAATCCCCTTAGAATATGATAAATGTAAAATTTCTAGTCTTTCCCCAAGTTACTATTATTTATTTAGCAATAGAACAAACTAGAAAAAATAAAAAAGACATAAAAGACATATTGTTCTCTATTCACAACAAATAGTTGACTATTGAAAGGTATTTAGTATGTAATTCTTTACCCAATACTTTTTAGTGAATTTAAAAATCAGATTTGACATTAAAAAAAAAATCTATTACTTGCTTTGAAAAACCAAAACCCCCATTCATTGAAAGTGGATGGTTTTGTGTTCCACTGCCCTCTCCTCTCCCACCATTAGCCCCATAGGTATCTGAAAAAATCTGAAACTCTTAGAGGAGCAAATGTGACAATGTGGTTACGTAGTATGGCAACCCAAATTAGTTTCAGTAATTTAAAAAAAAAATCTTATATTTTTTAGCTAATGGGAATGACAACAAGAAATTTAAAGGAGATAGACCTCCCTGTTCGCCTTCCCGTGTTCTCCATCTTCGCAAAATTCCAAGTGATGTCACCGAAGCAGAGGTCATATCATTAGGTCTACCATTTGGCAAAGTAACTAATCTTTTGATGTTGAAAGGAAAAAGCCAGGTATGTAATATTTAAAGACTGACCCACAGTGATTATCTCTGGGTGTTAGTGTTAAAAATGATTTTTATTTTCTTGGACTTTTCTGTATTTTCTAAATTGCATTCTATTTACATAAAGTAGTTTTTAAAATAGAATTTGTTTATGACAGGAAACAAACAAAAATATTAACACAGGAAATAGGATGATCTCTTATTCAGTAACTTGTCCTTTTCCTCTTTAACAAAAACATTTTATATTCATTAAATAATTTATGAAAATATCCTGTGATTGTCAGAAGACATAGAGAAAGAAGACATAAATCATAGCTCATTTGGCAAATTAAAGAACATTTATGTTTTTAAAAACCTATGTGGAAATGTTTAGTGTATTTTAGTTGTAGAATTTATATGTAGCTTCTTTAATGGAAAGAGACTCCAAGAGGTCTTCATTTAAGAAGTTAGTAGTTTTTTCTTAAGATGAAAAAGGAAACCTGCTTTTGTGATGACCGTGACAAAAATATAATACTTGTGATATTGATTTGAATAATTGCATGCTTTCTTGTTCCAACTCAGACCCCACTGGGATGAATTCTTTAGTTCTTTTCTACTTTTTGATTGTCCTGATAATCTTTTACTCTGAGCATTGCCTAAAAGAAGAGGACAACAAATCTATGCTCAGACGTTTTTGTCATTGTGATAAGTCCCTGATATTCTTAAGCTTTTTGTAAGTAATAAGTTTAAGAAACACACAAGTGTATTTGTAAATAGATTGATTAGCATTGATCATAAAAGAGATTGGATGATGATGTATGGTTCAGACCCCTATCTTTAGTAAACTGTTTGATTAACATCCCCGTTTATTTCAGATGGAGTTACTAAGATCTGGAGAAGTTAAGCAATACTGTCTTAGTATTCAGCTTTTGTGTTTACACATTTATCTTACATATTTTGAAGATCATGCATGCACTTAGATCTTATTTTTAACGTAGTTGCCACTATTGAGAATAGTATAATTTGCATGGTTTAGAAAGCGCTAACGTGGCCATATCTATGGCTATGTGATCTCTAATAGTTATGTATCACATACATTGTCATGTTGATTGTCTTATACGTTATATCAAATGTCTGTGAGAGGCAGTAGGGAGATCACAATTTCCTCTGTATCTACTGTTGGTTCTAGGTTTATATTTATCTGTAGTGCTGTTATGTTAATTGCTTCTCTTTTGATTATAAGCCCCATTTAGAAAATAATCTTGTTAGTAAGATAGTTCCTCAAGAGATTCTGATGTGAGTCACTAGAACTACTTGTAGGTATATTCTTTCCCATGGTACATGGAAGTGGAGTGTTGAAGGCAGAGTGGGGGTTATATTCACCAGCCTTTTCTTGTGTAGTGGCTTAGGTTTGCTTTCCATCCCACATTATAAAAATTGATCCCTTTCATGTGATACTTTGGAAAAACAAATAATTCCTTTACTGAACTCCATTTTGGAAAAAAATGTTTTTACTTACAAATTTTTAGGTTGTATATACTTTACTAGAATATTTTCTGAATGGGAATTCTTGGCAGTTAAGGTAACTAAAAACAAACAGTTTGACTTATAGATCTTTTCCATTTTCTGTGTTCAGTAAATTTTGTTAAAATTTATTTTACAAATAAATTGTAAATGTTTTATACATAATTGGAAGTGGTTACTATATGCTTGCTAATTAAATGCTTTATTATACTAAAAAAAAAAGGATTGAATTGTCTAACAAGAAATTTGTGTTCAGTTGGGTCAAGGGTTCTTCCTGCATTTTAAATTGAAAACTTGCTATGACAAGAATGATGTATACTCCCAAGATGTTTTGTAGCTTTTCCTCTGTGTGACTAATTTTAGACATTGAGTTAGTTCTTAACATTTTAGTAAGGAATTTGCAGAAAGGTACTTGCCCCATTTAATGAATGTTATTAGGGTACAGTTTACAAATTCTTGTTGAACAGGTGATTGAGACCAAATAGCTATGAGATACTGTCATAGCTATTTTTGTTAACTTGATCATTTTTATCCTCTTTTCTTAAAAAAGGCATATTACTGATTGGGTAAAATGGGTAGTGGCTTTAAAGTGCAACATGGACATTTATACCTTTTAGAGTAAATGATTTGAAGTCCTTTATTTCTTGAAAATAGTGGGATTTTGTTTATTTTGGAACAGTTAGTTAATGGTATTTGATCCATTGTCATGTGGCTAACATCACTACTTCATAGAATATTGTTAATTGAATTGAAGCATTTAATTCAGTTGGGACACTTGATAGGTACAGTTAAGCATCTTATTTAGCATTTGTCAGGTTAATATTCCTTTACTAGAATATTTTCTGAATGGGAGTTCTTGGCAGTTAAGGTAACTATAAACAGACAGTTTGATTTATAGATGTTTTCCACTTTCTGTGTTCAGTAAATTTTGTTAATATTTATTTTACAAATAGTGAATGTTTTATACATAATTTGAAGTGGTTACTATATGCTTGCTAATTAAATGCTTTATTATAGTAAAAAAAAAAAGGACTGAATTGTCTAACAAGAAATTTGTGTTCAGTTGGGTAAAGGATTCTTCCTGCATTTTAAATTGAGATCTTCTTAAGGTAATTCTGAGGGCTCAGAATGCTTACTACAAATCTGTATTTTATCTTCTTAATTAACCGGTAAGATAGGGTGTCAAAACTTGATCACCTTAAAGCTCTAGAAGTATCCTGTTCCTGTTACAGGTGTTCGTTCTCACACAAGCTGTAAATAGCATAAGACATAAATACCAAGGAGCTTCTTCCATCTCAGCTCTGCCTATGTTATTCTTCAAATGTCTAATATTACTGAATGATTACAGATGTTAAAAAACAAAATTCAATTGAGTAAGATTTACAGATCTTAATTGGCTTAATGAATGAGAGCATTCCCCTCCCCCCCACCATCTATCCCACTAGTAGGTAAAAAGCAGCTCTGAAAGCGATACAAAACAAAAGACTTTCTCACAGGCAGAAGGGGACAGGGCAAGGAGGTTACCAGCAAAGAGTGGATTGTCTCAGGCAAGGTCATCTTTCTTTAGGGAATGGCAGGGGTCTATCCAGCTGGTAATTCCAGATTGACTAAAGAGGAGAGGATGAAACTGTAATTAAGTTGTGTTCTACGTGTTGGTTTGGTGACATGGGCTTAACCCAAGTAACTCCATTTTGGTCCTGTTTTGGTTTTGTTTTTTTTTCAAACACAGGTATCCAAAAAAAGTCACTTGAAAGACTCAAATCAGTGTTGATTTAAATTTTTCTGTTTCCTTAATTTGAACAATTGAGTCTTTGCACCTGTGTGCACTATTTAATCATATGCATAAATAGCTGTTCTATAAAAAGGGAAAGAAGATCAAATTGTTATGTCCTGTCTCTGAGAATTTTTTAGGAAAGAACTATTAAATCTCAATCCCTGAAAACATCCATTTACAATGGCGATATTTCTGCCTTTTTTTTTTTTTCCCCGAAATTTTAGAAACAACAGAAGTAAGAGGGAGGGAAACTAAAACCACATAAAATCGTTTACTCATCTGGTGATATCCCAAGCCCATGTCCTTTATGGAATCCAGCTTTTCAAATATGTTTCCAATTAATGTCAGTGATACACTTTGAAGCTAAAATGTTTTCATCCCCTTGGGGGCAATATAATTTCTTCTGAGAATGCCAAAGTTTAGAGCAAGCTATAATGATAAAATAGTTCTTTGCTGTCTTTTAAAACATGAGCTTTCACTTAATGTTCTTGTGTTTATTGCAGGCTTTCTTGGAAATGGCTTCTGAGGAAGCTGCTGTTACTATGGTGAATTATTATACTCCTGTTACTCCTCACCTTCGAAGCCAGCCTGTTTTTATTCAGTATTCCAATCACAGAGAACTTAAGACTGACAATCTACCTAATCAAGCTGTAAGTATTAAAGACATTTAAAAAATAATTATAGAACACATAGTATAATAACTTAAAATTAATTTGCTATTTTTCAGAGGGGGAAAAATGTGTTTTTTTCCTCTTAGGTTGCTTTAATAGTAAAGACTGTATGTAAATTCTTACCCAAAGGCACGTAAGACTAAGAAAGTAGTGCCATTTAGAAATATGTTTGAAGTTACAATATAGATGGTAGAATTGGTAGTTTTCCCTTGCAAATGTTTTCATGAGAAAAAAGGAAAAATTTATACTGTTACATATCTCTTAAATCTCAGATGTAAAAGGAGCTTTGAAAGTCAACCCTTTCTTTTTACAGTATATGTAACATTTACATATTTAGAAGTCACCACGTTCTTTTCATAGAATATATTATAAAGACATTAAGAGGTTGTGACACTTCCTCTTAAAGTAACTGAATTTAAGATTTATAAGAATTTGTATAAACATGTTCATTAAATGATTTTTGACTCTTCAAAATGAATGCAGAATGTAGACTATCAACATTTTTTACCTAATTTCCCAGTTTTTATTTTGATATAGTTCAGGATGAATCTTCTGTGTCTCTCCAGGTTGTTTTTTATGTAATTAAAATAATAATTTAAAGTTACTTAGGGGCAGAAAACATTTATCCACAAAGCAAGTACATTTTTTAAGAAAGGATTTTTTTATTATGTTAAGAGCATATTTGGCCCCTACTCTTGTTCTAGGTAAAATAACTCCTCCAGCTCATTGATTCTGTCTTGAAAGTCATTATAACACAAGCTGCTGAATTTAAATTTAAATTTAAATTTAATTTAAACCACCATTTGCAAAACTATTTTCAAAAACAGTGACATTTCCTGCATAAAATCTTTAACTTGTTCTAAGAAATATTAGTGGCATATAATAAACTGCATAAATTTAAGACTAAAATGTTAGACATTTAAAATAGTATAGACTTTTTAAAATTTTGAAAAAGTACTTTATAAATAGGCTCCATGCTCATGGTAAAACATTGAAACAATCCAGAAAAGTAAAAAACAAAACAAAACAGAAACTGTCTAGTTACCCATAGATAACTAGTTAACTAACATTTTGGCGTGTATCCCTTCTCTATAAGGTGCACTATTTTCTGTCTATGTATTTTGCACTGGTGGAATGAATCCTAATGTTTTGAAAGCTCTGACTTTTTCTCTGTGTCATGGATGTTTTTCATGATAACAAATACAGAATTATTTCATAATTTTTAAATGACTATATAATATCCCTACAAAACAGCTATAATCTGTCTAGTTTCTTAATAGACACTGATTTTTTTTCATTTTTATGCTTTTATAAATAATACTGTAGCAACATTCTTACATATCTTAACATACAGCCTTATTTTATTAGTTTACATTTCTGGCAGCAAAATTGCTGGAACTAAGCATATGCATATTTTATGTTTTGATACATGTTACAGGATTACTTTCTGTAAAGATTATGTGCATGCCTTTAGGGTACCACTGATAATTTATGAACAAGGAGTTTTCCTGTCTTTGTTAATATATGATAGGTGAGAAATTATATCTTATTGTTTACTTACTTTTATTTGATAACTTGTCAAGTGTTGTGATATCTGTTAATGCATTTTTCCCCTATTTTTAAAATTGTGGTAAAAAATATAACAAATTTACCATTTTAATCATTTTCAAGTGTATTGTTCAGTGGCATTAATTACATTCACATTGTGCAACCATCACCACCATCCATCTCCAGAATTTTTTTTATCTTACCCAGACTAAAACTCTATACCCATTAAACACTAACTCCCCATTCTCCTCTTCCCTGTAGTCCCTAGCAGCTGTCATTCTACTTTCTGTGTCTGAGTTTTGTCTGCTAAGCAGTTTTTAAAATATCTTTTAACAATAGTCAAATCTCAAGATTGTATTAAAATTTCTGATTTTGATATCATTCTCTTAAAGACTTTGGATAGTAAAATTAAAAAGATTTTTTTCACCTGTGTTGTCTTCTCATACTTTGTTTTAGTTGTTTTTAGGTTTAGTTGTTTTTATTTTAATTTGTAAATCTTTGTTTTATTAAGAATATTTTGGGGAGGAGAAGTGAGGGTAAGGCTTTTGTCTTTTTTTTTTTTTTCACTCCTAGTGACCAGTTTCTCCTTTGTTGTTTTTTGATAACCCATTTATTATCCACTCATTTGAAACTTGTCCTTTGTCAGGTTCAAGTTTTCCATACACATGCTATGCCTACTTACAACATGCTTATGTACACTTGTTAGACATGTCTAGACATTTTGTTCGTATGGCCTTTACCCATATGTGTGCTGCCCACATGGAGTGCACTCCTTGTCTAATCTGGACTACCTTTGGAGTCCATTCTATCCCATTCCTCTTTCAGTGTAGGGAAAAGCCCTGTTCTTATTGTCTCTTTATAGAAATTAACTGGTTGATATATTTTATTTCTACAGATGTATTAGAATTATTTTGATAATTTCTACCCAAAAAAAGCACAGTTGGAATTGGGTTGATGTTATAGATTAATTTGAAGAAAATTAACATACTTATATTATCCTCTCATCCTTTTGAGGAGGAAGATAATTTTGTTTCCTGTCTTACAGTAGTTTTAGGTTTTCCTTCATGTAAGTCATGCAGTTTTCTCATTAGTGTGATTCCTAAATATGTTAAAGAAATAAATAATTGAATTTGTTAAAGAAATAAATAATTGGATAAAACTCTTAAAGACTGGATTGTTCTAAAGGGAAACAGTGAGAAATCCCGGTTGCTTGGCAACCAAAGTCAGCCCAAATGACCTAGTTTATTCTTAGATAGCCTTGATTTCTTCCCAGTGTCTTTTATGTAATTTTTATGCACTGATGTTTGATAAAACATAATTTTTCTTTTATTCAAAGTTCTACACCAAAGCTGAAGTCAAAATTGAAGTTACCTGTTTACATATATAAAATGAACCAGATGTCTTTTATTCTGATAGCCCTGGGAAGCTGATAAATTACTGTTTCATTTTCTTTTGTTCCCTGAATAGCAAGATATCCCCAAACATGCTACATAACTTATTTTCCTTATGAACATACTTACAAGAGGGTCAGGTGAATATAAAATATTTTTGTCCCTTGATTTAAATTAAAATTACAGCTAAGAAATCTAGGTCATATTTTGAGGTAGAGTATGTGAGAAATGGTTGTGTTACTAGCAGCTGTTAATTGTGTAGACAATTTTTCTTGACCTGTGGCTGGGTGTTTATAAATCTGCAGAGAATTGACCGTGGAAGGATTTCCCCTAAAAAAATTTCCCTCAGAATGCCATTAAACTGAACACTTAAGATTTGTGCATTTTATTGTATATTCATTTCCATCTCAGTTTTAGAAATGTCTTCTTCACCTTACTCAGACATGTTTAAATTTTACATGAATATTTTCTTTTCCCACCTCAATATATATTTTTGGTCTTCTGATCATATTACTATTTCCTTTAATAATAGCTAATATAACCATTCCAGAGAGTTTGTTGTTGAAACATTTAAAATTTTATTTCCTATAATAGGAATTCTGCCTCATAATTTTTAGCATCAGATAGATACACAGAACAAAGGTCTTCTGTGTATCTGAAATATCTCTTCATATAAGAAGACATTTCTTGTCCCCATTCCACCCCACGACTTTTCTGTTGTCCTCAGTGGAGAGTATTCCTCAATTTTGTGTTTTGTCTTAAATGTTTTTGACTAAAAATTGGAACTATAGAGCTACTTATAAAATAAATCTGTATTTTTTTCAAGTGTAATTTTCTTACATTTTCATTGTCAAAGTATTTTCTGCATACCTGCTTTGCAGAGACCTTTGTATTCAATATTCTGAAGTACTAATGCTGAGTATACTGACAACTCTAGAATGATTAGAACGGTATATACTGTGGCTTTCTATTTCTTTGCTATGGTATCCCCATGCCATAGAGGGAAGAGTGAAGGAAGAGGAACAACTGCAACAGTAATACTAATGGCAGCAAACATATATATAGAATTGTTGAATAAAAAGATTTGGTAGAATGATTAATGGGTTAATAAAGTAATGTCAGTGAGGTTAAATTTACCTTTGGTTGTGCAAGCTTAGTTTTGTTAAGATTTAATCATCATAATCTAAAAGGAAAAGGAACCGTTTTTCCACTTGGAACCTCTCTCTGATTGTGTCATCTTTCCTAGGTCTTCTAGAGTTGTGTCCAGTATGGTAGCTGCTAGCTACATATGGCTAAATTTAAATAAAATAAAAAGTGAAAAATTCAGTCCCTCAGTTGAACAAGGTGCATTTCAAGTGCCCGCTGGCCACATGTGGCTGCTGGCTGTCATATTGACAGTATAAGATATTGAACATTTCCATCATCACAGGAAGTTCTGTTGGACAGCACTGTTTATTTCTCATGTCTGTACTTAAGCTTTGTGGGTGTGTGTGTATGCAATACAGTCATAATACCACTTTAAACATCCTTGTCTGCTCATTTTCTTTGTTCTGGGGTCTTTGGTTGACACACACACACAACCCTTACCCTCTTCTAATTGTAGGCTCAAAGTGGAAGTGTGAATCAGTTTTCAGACTTGAAAGCAGTAGAACCCTTTTTTTCCAGACAAAATCTTACTGGGAAGCCCACTGAAAAAGAGATGAGATAAACTGTCATGTTTGAAATGGGATTGGGGTGCTCAGTATTCCACAGACTTGGCTTTATAAAAGCATAGTTTTGAAAACCAGTGATATAAAAATACTCAAGTATTTACTTACACATTGTTCTCAAAGATAATGATGCTTTGGAAACTGAATGTTGGGCAGTTTATGCATTACCTAATACATAAGAGTATTTATGGCATAAGTGTTTTTAAGAGGTATTTAAAAAATTTATACGTTAAGTATAAAATGGAAATTCAAGTATTAAGCATTCAGAAAGTAAAAGAATGCCAGTTTTCAGAAAGATAGTTACTTTAATGTTATTTGTCATAGCAAAGTGTTGTAAAACTACTCATCTCACGGTACAGAGGTTGGTATAATAAATAGTAATACAAAAATATTTAAATCATGAAAACAAAACAAAAAAAATGTTAATTCAAAGTAACATACAAGTACTGTGATATTTAAAATTGCAAGTGAATACATAATGTAAAAATAAAAGCTAAATTAAAGTAGTGGGATTTTTCATTTTATGGTATATAAACATTTTAGTACTTATCACCATTCTTTAGAAATGGTCAATATGGAACAAGAGAGTGATGAAAACTTGCATTTAATTTCAGTAATCATCAACGGTGGTTTTTATTCCTTCAATTTTCCCTCCTTTCACTTTTTTCAAGTAATTGGTTTAAATTTTGAGACAGTCACAAAATTAGAGAAGAGTTGCAAATACAATACAAAGAACTTGATATCTTGAGGCGTTTGTGCATAAGTTGCTCATCTAGTTTGTCTTCATAGTCCAATACTTTTTACTCTTCATTTCCTATAAACAAGGACATTCCCCTACAAACCAGAATACAGTGGTCAGTAACAGGAAATTAACATTGATACATTACCTCCCTCCAATCCTCTCCTCATTCAAGTTTTGCCAGTTGTCTGAATAATATGTTACAGAGCCAAACAAACATTATTTAGAATCACATGTTCTTTTAGAAGTCACGTTATCTTTGTCTTCTTTCTTTTGAAATAGTTCAGTTTTTGACTTTCATGACCTTGACACTTTTGAAAATTACAGGCAAACTTCTAGGATGTCCCCCTCAATATGAGTTTGTCTGATGTAGCCTTGTGACTAGATTCATCATGTAGCTTTGACAGGAACACCACAGAAATAATATTCATTTTTCTCAGCGCATCATATCAGGTGGCAGGTAGTTTCAGTTTGTTGCATTATTGGTGATGTGCTCTTTGATAACTTGATTGGGTTGGTGTTTGCCTGGCTTCTGCACTGTAAATTTAATGACTTTGAGAGGGGAAAAGAGAGTACTTGGGGCTAAAGTACTTTAAGGCAATGTCAATATACTGTTCCTTGTCAACTGTCAATTTATATCAGTATGGACTTAAGGTTTCTTATTTGATGGGTTATTGTTACAATCATTTTTATTTTGATTCTCAAATTTTCCTATGTTTGGCCAGTGGGAGCTCCTTCAAGCTGTCGTCTCTGTCCTTTTGGCATGTTCTCATCATTCTTTGAATGCTTCTTTGCACTCTGGTAAAAAAAAACAAGAAAACACAAAAATGAAAAAGTTCCATACTTACCTTGTGCCTGTTGTGCTTTCCTTGCTCCAGTCTGGAACTAGACATTTTTTAGAGCATCGTGATTTAGTAGAGCATGGTGTTTAGAAACTTGCCTGCCTACCCCTGTTTGGGCTTTAACATCGCCCATCAGGCTGCCCCTTTTTGCATTACCTCCTTAACGCCGTTCAGGCCCTCTTGGACCTCTTCACCCTGCACAGACTATTTTTACCACATTGGCTACCTGCACCATGCAGATAGATGCCTTATAGTTTTCATGGACCTCGGATTCTGATACGTACATTGATGTCTGACATGCATAGATAACATTCCTTACCTTGTCTGGGCTCAGGTTCCCCTAAGCAGCCCTACCATATGGATGCTTTCCTCACATTGCTCTGGCTCTGATGTTCCTTGCCAGGATGCCTTCCTGTGAGGGTGCCCTCCTTACCCAACCCTGAACTGTCACGGTTCCTCTCCTCCTCATATTTACATCTATCATATGCCCCCCCAAAGGCTTTACAACTTGATTGTTCAGGGAGGTGGGAAAAAAAATGAGGAACTCAAGTACTTTTTAAGTGGTTGTTAATGTTAGTTTCACAGTCTTTTTTCCTACTATCATTTAAAATTTGGGAAATAAAAGTTATATCCAAATTTTCCCTTTTTTGCTATGTGTTTTTTTCATCAAGTAAATATAAGCAAGTTTCTTAAGTATTGTGATAAGAAAGCAGGTTTTTGTTTTTGTTTTTTTACTCTTGACTGATTACAGATTTAGGATATGTGCATACAGAGAAAGTAAGTATGTATATTTTTATTTGACTATATTACTTTACATCAACTAAGTTTTGGGATTCATATAATGCTTCTTTGTAACCAAAGCTTCTCATTTTGGATTGTTGAATAGAGAGCCCAAGCTGCACTGCAGGCTGTCAGTGCTGTCCAGTCAGGAAGTCTGGCCCTTCCTGGAGCTCCTACCAATGAAGGCACAATCCTACCTGGGCAGAGCCCTGTGCTCCGAATAATTATTGAAAACCTCTTTTACCCTGTTACTCTGGAAGTTCTTCATCAGGTAAGGAAGAACATTCTTATGAAAGCAGAGTCAAATGTGAGCTCTGTAACTTTTGATGTTTTATATCTGTAGTTTTTTAGGTTGTTGATTTTGTTGATATATTTGTTTAAATAATAAAAATAAATCCATAGCATCCTGTTTCACAAAAGAAATAGTATCAATTGGAGATAATTTTTGACACCCTCCTTTTTCTAACTTAAATACTTGATTCTAAAAGGAGTGTAGGAAATTATTTTTTAATACCAAAACATGAAAGTAAACAAAGCATAGAATCCTGTCAATATTCCTGAGAAAGTAACATCAGTATAGAAAACTACCAATTAATTTCTGTTGATTCATTCTTGTATCAAGTAGTTTTATTTCTAAAACTCTGAAAGGAAGGGATGCAGTTTGCGTATGCAACATGGACTTTTCTTACAGAATTTAAGAACTGGAAGGCTATCTAGTAACATTTTGTAGTAAATAAGACTGAGATTCAGATAATTGGTACTTCAAGTACAGAGTAATTGAAGACCCAGTTAGAACTCAAACCTCCTAATGTGAAGTCCAGTGTTTGTTTTGTATGCATATCATATTTTAAAATAATACTCCATTATATACATACCCGCAAAATGTAACATACAGTTATCTGGTAATCTGTGCACATAAACTTACTTGGCATCTAGCTCAAAATTTTCAGTAAGTTTTTGTTCCCTTTAGTTGCATATTGGTTATGTTTCATTATGCTTGTTAAAATATTTAATGACTAAAACATATTACATGCTTATTTTCATATTTATATCTCAGCATATATTGTACAGCATGGTACTAGGCCAGTCCAGAATCATTTGTTTTCCAAACCTTTGGATTCACACTAAGTGAAGAGTCAAAGGGATTTGTGCATGCATGTGTATTTAAGAATTGAAATGCATCTTATTCTGTTCTTATATTTTACAAATAAGGAAACTGGGGACCCCTGGAAGTTATTTCCCTGCAGTCTGTACCAATTGGCAGTAGAGCTCAGATACATTTCCTGATATAGTTTCTGTGCCATGCATGTGAATATCAAAATAAATCATTTATTAGGCTTACTGTGTTCCTGATGATAACTTTCTGAGTACCATTTTCTAACTATGTGCATTGGTGAAGCATGTCCCAGGGAAGGCCTTAACAGTAGTATCCATAGCCACTGTTCTATAAAGGCTCAGAAGTTGGCTTAAGCGATGGGCTTCTTTGTTCTGGTGGATTTTCATTTCTTCTGTTTATCCTGCAAAGTGGCACTGAACAATGTTGATCCATCAGCAGTGTTTGTTTACTTCTGCTACTGAAACAGTGCAGCTACCACTAACTTACAGTGTTTTACAAAAGGTTTGGATCTGTGGCTCAACTTTGCCATCAGTCAGCAGTTGAGCTTAGGCAGGGTCATGTGAACCTGTCCTGTTGCTCCATTTATTATTCCCCTGAGAGCAGTAGCAAACCTTGATTCTCTCCCAAAAGGTCATGGGGTCCTTCAAGTGAGGAGGAGTAATTCTGAGAGTCCTCAGTAGTAACCATTGTGGTGGGACTCTTAGCCTTTGAGTTACAGCACTCACCTGTTTAATCCTTTCCATTGCTGTTGGCGTAAAACCAAACTCCTTAACCAAGGCCTTCCAGGCCTCCACAGGCCAACCTCTCCCAATCTTTTTAATCTCATTTCCTAACACTGTTCTTGTTTACCCCCCCTGGCTTTTCTGGCCCTTTGGCCCTCTTTTTTTACCCCACAGCTTATTCCTGTCTTAGTTTCTGTCTTCTGTTTCCTAGACCTGGAACACTCTTCACCAAGATAGCCACTTAGCTGAATCGACATTATTCAGTTTCAGCTCAAATTCACCCCCACAGAGAGCCTTTCTCTAATTACATTAACTAAGCCATCTCCCCCTGGTACTGTATCCTATTAGCCAACTAGAGAGTAGTGTAACATAATGATTAAGGATGCAGGGTTTGCAGCTGGTTTGAATCCTGGCTCTTCTACATACACTACCTCTGTAACCTTGGGCAACTAACTTACCCTTTGTCTTTTTCTTGTAAATATATAAAATGGGGATGAAGATGGTATCTATACCTTCACTGTGAGGATTACATGAGCTAATGCATTTAAAGCACTTAGAACAGTGCCTGGTATATATTAAGTGCCCAAGAAATGTTAACTGTAATTATCAGATGCTGGTAAATTGCACTGTAAGAAATTGATCCTTGATCTTGTAATCTTGTATGGGTAAGATATAATTTCATAAGGAATAGCATACAATGTGATAAATATTGTGATGGAGAAATACAAAAAAGTGTGGAGTTGATTGCACCCTTATATTTAAGTTGTTGTTATGATTAATTTGCAGATAATGTTACAATTTTTGCTGATCTCTTAACATCTATAGAAGCTAGTGTTTTTCCTTAGGCTACAGTAAGAGGATTGAGAGTGACCAAGATGGGAGCAGTACTATTTTTAGTTGAGGGAAGTAAGGGGAGGGAGGTCTTTCCAGTGTAGTGACATTTGAGCAGAGGTTTGAAGGATGTGAGGGTATAATTTATGTGTACATGTGGTAGAATAATCATCCAGTCAGAAAGTACAGCAAGTGCAATGTCCCTAAAATGAAAGTGTGCTTAATGTTTCAAATATTAGAAATAAGGCTGGGTCACTGGAGTGTAAATAAGTGGGAAATCCATAAATGATAGGGTCAGATAATTAGGAGCCAGATGAAGAAAAAAGCCTTTATAACCTGTACAGTGAGATGGAAAGCCATTGGAGGATTTTGAGTAGAAGAGTGAGATGATAGATTTTTTTCATCCCATTTTAAAGTCTGAAAAGATTAAAATGCACAGGAGACATCAAGAGTTGAGTCTGCATTTCTGTTGATGTTTATGATAGCAAAATCAGTATATCAGGCAAATAGAGTCAAAGACCTTGTAATTAATAAAAATAAGTCTTTATATATTAAACTTTCCTGAATGTTAATCTTTTTGAGACCAAATATGTTTAAAATTTAATATATTGATAATTATGAAAAGATGTTAAAAATCACACATCAGGCATTCCTGAATTCCCTGATGTTGGTGCTTTCTTATGTTATTCAAAAGTATCATATTGATCTTTGTAATTCCTCTCTCAGTAAATATAATCCATGGGGCTCTAGAGAGCTATCCATGGTTAGCCAGTCCAGTCAATTTATATTTTCTTAGCACATCCAGATAAAAATAACACAGTCAAACAGCTGTCAGTGAGGTTGTGCATCAGGTTGTTGTTAAAATTAAATGAGATAAAGAATCTAAGCAATAACAAAATATGAAGGATAAGTGGAAATTAAATGGGTTCTCTGCATAATTTTAGTATGAAATTATCCCAAATTTGAGAGCAAATGAAATGTTATTACTTAACAATTCCAGTTTAGGTATATTCCCAAAAGAACTAAAAGCAGGGACTCAAAGAGGAATCTACACACCCATGTTCACAGTAGCATTATTTACAAAAGTCAAAATATGGAAGTAATCCAAGTCTCCATCCACAGATGCAGGGATAAACAAAATGTGGTGTATCCATACAATGGATACCTTAATTGGAATTGTTGGATCATATGGTAATTCTGTTTTTAAATTTTTCTGAGAACCACCTTACTATTCTCCATAGCAGCCTCACCATTTTATACCAGTAATGCACAAGGGTTCTGTTTTTTTCTACATCTTCCCTAATACTTGATGTTTTCTGTTTTTTGTGTGTTTTTTGTTGATAGTAACTATCCTACTAGACATCAGGTGGAATCTCAATGTAGTTTTTATTTTAATTTCCCTAATCATTAGTGATGTTGACCATCTTTTCATGTGCTTATTGGCTATTTGATTATTATCTTTAGAGAAATGTCTGTGTAAGTCCTTCGATGGTTTTTAAATTGGGTTTTTGTTGTTCACGAGTTTCAGGAGTTCATTATATATTCTGGATATTAACCCCTTATCAGATAAATGATTTGAAAATGTTGTCTCCCATTTGTGTCTTTTTACTCTGTTGATAGTGTCTTTTAATGTACAAAAAAAAAGATTTTAATTTTGATGTATTCGAATTCATTTTTCTTTTGTTGCCTGTGCTCTAGGATAGTTCTTTATCATTCTTCCTAATAATTAAATGCAGGACCATGTGCTTATTAAGAGACACTTATACATAGTATTTGATAATAGCAAATTCTTATCAGCATAAGGAATACCTATCTTTTATTCTTAGAAGCAGAAGGACAGATTTCTCGCATATTTAGATCCAAATTTAAAATTGGATGTCAGAGGAAAATCAAATGCACTGTAATAACTAGCCACAAATCTCTTGGTAGTTAAGTAGAATAAGTATTGTAAGAGCATTGGTAACTAGGAATCTGTCAGGAAACCTTCCCCATGCTTTGTTTATTCCTCTTCTGCAAAGACACTTCAGAAAGGCCTTCCTTGACTATCCTTGCACCTTGCCAATGTGCATTCCAGTTCACACTCATCCATTTTGCTTTTTATTTTGATTCATAAAGTTTTTTTATGACCAGTCGTTGTGTTATTTGCTCATCTGTTTGTATCATCTTTTAACAGTGAGACTCTTGTCTCTGTTTTGTTCATTGCTGACTTCCCAGTGCTTAGAACACTGCTCTGTGTATATTCATGAATTAATAGAGCAGCCTCTAGTTGAACATCTTGAGTTTCTCTGTCCATAAAAATCTCAAAAAGTAGATGCTGATTCTCAGGGTGAAATAGTTGTTCCATACTACTCATCCACTTCATTCATATGCTTTGTAACACCATTATCTCATAAAATTAATTCCTCTTATAGCCTCCTGTTTTGGTATTGTGCCATTTATGACATGCTAAAAAATAGGTTAAATATATTTGAATGGCTGTTGTGCATCAGGCTGTTTTAAGCCATGTGTGGGTGTTGAAACATTTTAACATTTTAGGCTTGATTTAAGTCATTGGTACCAAACAGTTTTAATAGAGGAAATTATTTTCATTTAAAAATGAGATTCATGAATCAAGTTGTGTTTATAAAGGTATGTTAGCTTAATTTTTTCTTTATATTTAACTTAATATGAACTTTTTTCCAGATATTTTCTAAATTTGGCACCGTCTTGAAGATTATTACCTTTACAAAGAATAATCAGTTTCAAGCCTTGCTTCAGTATGCTGACCCATTGAATGCACATTATGCCAAACTGGTAATTATGACCTTTTAAGAATTTTTCAATTCCTAATCAGTCACTTTAGTGATACCAAAGGAAGCCATCTCATGTCTTCTCCCTTGCTCCAGTTTACCATGTGTATTTTTAATTGTAATAAAATATACATTATATAAAATTGTTTTTAAAAGTATTGTTCTGTATAAGAAGCTAAAAATTACTTCTTTCTTCATAAGAAATGGTTTCAAATCACCTATCAGATCTGTGGGACTCATTTCTGTTTGTCATGCTTAAAGTCTAGAGTTGAAAATGATACTCCTGATACAATCTTCCTTACTAATAAATTTGAATTATTTTTGCCCTTGTACCTTCATTTACCTCTGTTAAATCAGCTGAAGATTGATTCATTTCACTGTTTTTGCAGCCATATTCACTATTGAATCTTGTTGAGGTCTGAATTGGTGAAGAATTAATCTTAGGAAGTATATTCCTATCAATTCATACTGTTTTTTTTACCGTGAGTGCTTCTCTTTTGACAAAATAGGAGACTTGACATTCATTTTGGTTCTATTGAGCGTGGTCCCTAACCCTAATTCTGCCTTGTATCAGTATCTGAATTATTTATAATTTCTTTTCAAAAATAGGAACTAAGGTTTATGGTAGTTTTGTGTACCACTCAGTGTCAGCCTCTTGATTAGAAATTATATGTGCTATACCTTCTACCTGCATATATTATTTTGATCTTTATGATGGCATACTTGTCAGGAACTATCATAGTCAGAGTTTTGTTTTATTTTCTGTTTATTTTCTGTTTGTGTAGAAAATAGTTTTTTTCTTTTGGTTTCTGGTATCTATTTTATTTTTATTTGTTTTGGTTTCTGGTATCTATTTTTATAAATTCAGCCATTTGTAGAAGTTGTAAGTGGCAAGAAATACCCCTTTGGTGAATTTTTATTACTGTGAAGGGAGGGATTACTGATCTTTGGTCTTGTATCAGAACTGACTTCAAATTTCCCTCAGCTTATTATTCAAAGTATTATAAAATAAATTTATAAGAGAAAAAATGATAAGTGGTAGAGAGTATTTTATAGCTGTGGGTCTGACAAGTACTATTTACAAAGATTTTATTTCTTAACCTATATAAGCTATACTAAAAAGAATTAGGATGAAATGTAAAATTAAAATATCTTTAAACATTTACTGTGGACAAAATAATTATGGCTAGTACAATGTATAATATAATAATGTATAATCATTTTCTGAGTTTTTACATTTCTCTTCTTTCATTTGATCTTGCCACAGACAACATAGGGATTATCGTTATTTTACAGATGAAAAAGCTGAGAGAAATTTTCTTTTTCTCTCTTAGGTAGTGACTGAGGTAAAAGTAAACACAGGTGTCTTTGGCTATAAGTTCAGTGCTCTCTGCCTTTCTTACCTGACTGCCACGCTGTGTCAAAATAGAAGCTACTTGATATCAATGTTGTTGTCTTGCAAAATATCAGTCCCTTTCTTACATGCTTTAGGCTCTGGATGGCCAGAATATCTATAATGCATGCTGCACTCTGCGTATTGACTTCTCCAAGCTCACCAGCCTTAATGTGAAATATAATAATGACAAAAGCAGAGACTTCACTCGCTTAGACCTTCCTACTGGTGATGGCCAGCCATCTCTTGAACCCCCTATGGCTGCTGCTTTTGGTGAGTAGTTCCATTTTGGGTCACAAAGCAAGTTTCCTTAGTTGTAAGATTCCTTTGTTAATCCATGTATGTCAGTTGGCCTCTTTTTCTTGGATTCTCTCAGGATTTCTAAAGGAAAGCAGGAATCATGGAACAAAAATGTGTTAATTAAATCATAATATTAGTATATTCTCTTGGTGAAACACCTGAATATCTGAAATTGAGTTACAGATTTATTTTCTAACATTAATATTACTCATTCTTTATAAGCCATACAACCATTTGCTTCAAATTAATAGTCTTAAATATTAACATTTGGTTTAAATATGTTGATTTATAGTCAGTAGAATATTGGCGTTAAATGCTCTGGAGAGAAATGTTTCCCTTTTAAAGTAGTGATATTTTAAAACAATGACCTAAATTAGTGGCATGTTCTTTATTCACAGAAGAGGATTTATGTATTTGTTTTTTGAACATCAGAACTTGCAGCTTTACCTTAAGTTTGCATGAAGTTGTAATTTTGCATTAATAAAATACAGCCTTCTGAATTGTCTGCAAATGTTGCTTTGAAGAACTTCCTTCTTTTACTTAAAATCAGTTCTCAGTGTATTTGTACTTTAAAAATAAATCTTTATTTAATAGAAAAAGCAGTGCATGGCCTATTAGGATATATCATTCGGTTAATTTATGCTACTTTTTGGGTTTGATACTCTCAAAATAAAGCAAAGTTTTTTATTTAGATAAAATATTAAATTTTATTACCCTTTGATTGATTTTTCTTTCCCAAATGACACCATAAAATTTTGCTAGTTGAGACCTTAAGTTGTAAGTTTCCTTTGTTAATTTTACAGGTTAGAGAATAAAGAATGCTTGGACGAGTTGTTCAAAATTTTCTAGAAAATAGTTTGTAACTTTATTTTAAAGTAAAAGCTTTTTGTTATTTATAATTGAAAAAGTCAACGTGAATTGTTTAGTTCACATTCCTAACATGTTTAAAATTTCTCTTTGGTCTGACCAAATACTTGTGTTTTATATTTGTTACCAGCCCCTATTTATATGCCTGATTTGGCAAAGCCAAAGGTCTTTGTAGTAACCATTTCAATAACGTGATAGAAATTGAGGCTATCATTCAAGTTTGCCAGTACTTGGCTGTCAAATGCAGAACTGTATTTGTTCTGAAAAGTGAATGCATATTGTTGGTGTAATTATTTTCCTGCATTGTGGAAAGCGGACATTTTAAAGATAAAATTAAGAATTTCAGTTTCTAAATATAAAGGATCAGAATATTAACATTCTTTTTCATTGTATTATTAAGCCCAGCTGTATCCTAAGATATTAGTGACTCATCAAACAGAAAGAACTTTTTCATGTACCGTGTGAAAGTTTACTTACTCACTCAGACTTGACACAGTTCACTATTCCCTCCTTGTTTCTCCTGGCTTCTGCAACACCATACTCTAATGACGTTTTTCCTACCTTACTTGCTATTCTCTTTTAAAAGTTGCTTCTAAGATTAAGTTGTAAGCACTCTTGTTTTTAGTGATATGTATTGTACCTATAGAAAGCTTATAAAACATGCATGTAAGTGTATTGTTTAATACCCATGTAATTACTACCCAGGTTAACATACAATATTCACCCATAATGAAGAAGCACTCTTTGTATCCCCTCATTGATTTTGTTCCTCACTCTCTCTGCCCCAAGATGACCATAATCTCAGATTTGATTTTGAGACCAAAGTCTTGCTCTTCTGCTTTTTCCAAATGTGTTTGGTTTCGTTTTTTTACCACTAATTATGCAGCATTAAGTGCTAGTTTAAATTATTCTTTTCTCCTATATTTAGAATTTTATGTAAATGGAATTCATTTGCTTTTGTGACTTGTGATTCATCCATATTCATATTGTGGCTATTGCTTATTTGTTCTCAATACTGTCAAGTATATAGATTCCCATTGTATGAATGTACCAGTTTTTCCATTCTACTTCAGATAGACATTTGGGTTATTTTAGTTTGAGGCTATTACAACAAGGCTGGTATGAAATTTTCCTGATTGCCAGTGAGGTTGAACATGTTTTTGTTTGTTTATTGGCCATTCTCCCTTATGTATTTTCTGTTCAACTCTTTTGCCTATTTTATGTTTGGTTTTGCCTATTTGTGTTTGGTTTCTTGTTTTTCCTTGTTTATTTGTAGGAATTTTTTATATATGCCAGACACTAGTCCTTTGTTGGTTATATGTGCTGCAAATAGTTTCTCCCTTTTTTGGCCTATTGGTTCATTCTCTTCATGGTATTTGTAGGTAGTCCAATTTATATGTCTTTTCCTTTATATTTGTTGTGTCTTGGTTAACAAACATTTTTTTACTCTGACATCACAAAGATATATGCTTATATTCTGAAGTTTACATGTTTTAGTAACTTTGTCTTGAAATAATTTAAGTTGCAAGAATAGTATAAAGAATTCCCTTTAATCTTTCATTCAGATTCCCTAATTATTAATGTCATACTACGTTTATTTTATTGTATTTCTGATTACACATGATGTGTGTGGATACCTAGGTGGGTAGTTTTTTGTTTTGTTTTTTCCCCGCTGAATCATTGGAGAGTAAATTGCAGGCATGATGCCCCTTTACTTCTAAATACTCACTGTGTATTTCCTGAGAACAAGGCTGTTCTTACCTACAATTGAGTTAGTATTATATTTTACTATTATGTAACCCTTAGACAAATTTTGCCTCTTGGGAAAATAATGTTCTTTATAGGAGAATTTTTTCTGGTAAAGAGCAATCTAATATCAGGCTAATTTATTTGTCATGTCTCTTTAATTTGAAACTTATTCGTCATTCTTTGTCTTTCATGACCTTTGCACTTTTGAAGAGCTCTGGATAGGTGTTTATAGAGTGTCTCTCAATGTGGGTGTCTTTTTATTTTTGGCTGAAGTGATATTATGTCTTTCTCAGTTTATTATATCAGGAGACACATGATGTCAGTTTATCCAATTCCTGGTGTTATTAACTTTGATCACCTATTAAGGTGGTTTCTGCCAAGTTTCTTCCCAGTACAGTTCCTGTTTTTCTCTATGAAATTAAGTTGCAGGGAGACACATTGAGACTATATAAATATCCTGTTCCTTATCACTTTTCATCCTTTTGTTTTAGCAACTATTGCTGAAATTAATTGTTACTGTGATGGTTACTGTATTGTTGATTAGTTGATTCCATTCCTTGTACATTTATTAATGGGAATTTTATTGTAAAGGTCTTTGTAGTAACCATTCATTTTGAATAAATTCAGCCTTCTGAATTGTCTGCAATTCATTCATTTTGAATAAATTTGACATACAGCAATGTGAATTTAAGGTGTATAATGTGTTACTTAGATATGTTTATATATTGTAATAATGGTTGCCAGCATAGCAATATCTATCACGTTGTATAATTATAGTATGATGTTGTTGTCTGTTTATTCATCATGCTGGACTCATAGACACTTATTTTATTCTGTGGGTTGTAATTTTGTACTATGATTTTTCATTTTATGCTCAACCTGTCCCTGATTTAGCCAGTGGGACCCCTTCCTTTCATATTGGCTTCTGTGGCCCTTTGACATATCTTCATCATCAAGTTTGAGCACTTCCTTACTTTGTGGCAGAAGAAAATTCAAATCTTTACCTTCCCTGCTTCAGCACTTAGAATCAGCCATTCTCCAATGAGCCCTGGGGGTTCCTTTTAGTGGGAAATGGTATTCGGAAATCTTATCAAGTTACTAGATATGCTCATTGCTAATAGGTCATCATTGCATCTAGGCTTTTTACATGGACATGAGTGATGTGTGTGTGTGCGTGTGTGTGTGTGTGTGGTTTAAAAAAAAAAAAAGAATTCATTAGCCTTGACATATTTACTTACTTGCTCCATCCTGTAATATACAAAAACTAGTTTCAGAATTGTTAATATATAACATTAACTTCAGCTTAATATTTGTATAAGTTTTCTGGGCATTGTTCCATTTGTCTCATTATTTGTGTTTCTTACTATCATTACAAGTCTCAATATCTGATAGAGATGTCTTTTAACCTTATTTTTCAAGAGTATCTTGGCAGTTCTTCACCATTTACAAATGAATTTTAGTATCAATTTGTCATGCCTTCAAAAATGAATCTATTGGGATTTTGATTGGACTACATTGACTTTTTGAATCTCCTAGAAGATAATTGACTCTGTCTCTACAATAGAGTCTTCCAGTCTTTGAATATTGAATGTCTTTCCATTCATTTGGATATTCCTTAATGTATTCAAGTAAAGTTTGGTGACTTTTCTCCATAAAGGTTTGCATGTTTTGTTAGATTTATTCCTAAGAATCATACTTTTTAGATTCTTATTCTAGGCCTATTATTTATGATCTCTGTAGCCTTAAGCAAACTGCTTAACTGCTCCATAATTTCTTTTGTTTCTTCTATGTGAAATTAACATAATAACAGTACTTACCTGGTAGAGTTGTGATGAAAGGATAGATATGTAGATTAATGGAGCAGAATATAGAAATAGACCCACACATTTTCAACATTGATTTTCAAAAAACCTGCCAATGTAAAATTCAGTAGGGAAAGGTAAATCTTTCAATAAGTAGTTTTTGGACAGGTGGGTATTTTAATTTTGGAAAAAATTAATAATCTCTATTTCATACCATACTGACAGATTGACTTGAAATTGATCTTAGACTTATATATAAAACTTGAACTTATAAAACTTCTAAAACATAGGAGAAAATCTTTGCAATCTGGGGATATGCAGAGATTTCTTAGAACACAAAAAGCACAAACCATAAAAGGAAATTTTTTATATATGGTACATCAAGATTTCATAGTTTCACTGTTTGAAAAATACCATCAAGAAAACTAAAAGAAATCTTTTGAAGAAAAATAATTGTAACACATATATAAGACAAATGAGTTACTCAAAAAAACTCTGATAGGTCAGTAAGAAAACAAAAATGTCGCG